TTCTGAAAGTTTCCTAAAATATTAAGACAATGCGTGTGTTGCCTTCAATAAAAATATTACCAAGCGAAATTCTATAAAAACAAGCTAGAACGCAATTAATAAATATACAAGTCGTTAAATATCTTTCAATTTTTCTGCTTACTAAACACTTAAAACCTAAACGTAGTACGTCAATATCGGAAATAATATTGCCAAATTGCTTAGAGGCGGAGAACCTTTACCTGAATTGCCATAAATTCAGGCTCAAGCTCAAATTTGTTGCTCAATCTCACCAAGATGAGGCACTAAAATGAATGTATACGAACTCCATTCCCAATAAAACGTATTGTGATGTGTATACTAAATATCTTATAATTATGTTCTTATTATTTTATTATCTAGTTATATAGTTCAGATATTTAGATGAAAGTAATTGTTCTCTGCTTTAAATTAAATTATGTTATATAAAATATTTTCGAAAAAAAAAATTCTACACCGTTATCAATAAAAACGGCAAAAAAATCATGTCTGTGTATGGGAGCCCAACTTAAATATTTTTTGTATTCTGTTTTTCAGTATTTGTAACAACAAATACTATAATATCTGTTGCCGCTATTGTTATAGAAATCATATGAAAGAAATCATATATGAAAATTTTGAACTGTCTAACACGATTCATGACATACAGCCTGGTGACAGACGGACAGACAGACAGCGGAGTCTTAGTAATAGGAACCCTATTACTCCGCTGTCTGTCTGTCGTTCAAGATAAAGCTTCAAAATATATTTAATTAGAAAACGGATAAACGATACCGCATTGCGGCGCGGTCTGAGAGCTGCGTTCAGGCGTTTTATAGATACCTTCAAATAACCTTTCCTTTGTATATTGATCAAAGTGAATCAACATTTATAAAGCTAAAACCAAAAAATGAATGAACAACATAATAATATATGAAATATAAAATTCTAAATATCTTTTACGGATTTCTTAATAAAATAACGTTTATGTATCAAATGATTTGTATCTACATTCGTATTAAAGCGTTAAAATATTGTTACTATCGAGGTTTACAGATTGTCGTAGTATTAAAATTAAATATCTAATTAATGTAAAGATTATTTTCTCATATTTACATTAAAAGAAAAGTCATTTGTTTCTTCTTCTATAAACTATTTGCATGTAGATATGTAAATCTACAGTCTCTTACATTTTTGAATATTACTTCTTTTAGCGCGTTTGGACAAAATTATGCGAGTACTCGTAAAAAAGCGACCAATTCCACGGTATTAACACGGCAACCAAGAACAACATTTTCAGATTTTTATAATTCAACTAGCTGACCCGGCAAACGTTGTTTTGCCATATAAATTATTTGTAAAAAGTAAAAGTAAAGTATTAACAGCCTATACATGTCCCACTGCCGGGCAAAGCCCTCCTCTATACAGAGGATATCAGGACATAGTCTACCACGCAGCCCCACTGCGGATTGGCGGACTTCACATATCTTCGATATATATTTTTTTTGTTATTATTTCGAAAATATGCAGATTTCTTCACGATGTTTTCCTTCACCACGGAGCACGTGATAAGTCAACACTTTAAGTTAAAAACTTCATTGGTGCCGGCACCGGGGATCGAACTCAGGTTGCTCGAGTACATTGAATTAAAGGCGTGCGCCCGGACACTGAGCTTTCACGGCTCTTAAATTATTTGTAGGGTAGAAAAAATGTTTGGGTGGACCATCATTAACATTTAAGGGGATGAAAAATAGATGTTGTCCAATTCTCCACCCTGGCCGATATGCATACACAAGAATTTTATATATTAGAAGTTATTTACTTAAGCCGTCATCAAATACATTTAATGTCTTTTTCGCAAACAAAGAGTACTGGCACGGGGGATGGTTATAAAAGTGCAGCTTATATGAAGAACAAAAGCTATAAAATAGTGTATGAAATATGAAGTATATTAAAACGTTTATAACTCACCTTAGGATTAACTGAAATTTTTAATTTGGAATGGAAAGCAATAGTATTTCGCAGAGCATTAAATTAGAATCTAACTGTAATAATGTAATTCATAAATTAGTTGATCGATATTTAAGTTTGTTTATTTCATATATTTTGTTTTTATTTTTGCTTCATTAAAATAATTCTAGTCTGGCTAGAATGCAGCGAAAATTAGATTCCTCTTTTATAGGAGTTTGTCTCGAATGCTGTCATGTGAGACCTAATTTTGTGAGAAATTTATACACACATGAAATTAAAAAAAACACTTATTTGGTATACCTAAATATTTTTTTATTTCATATGCGTATAAATTTTTAAAATTACCAACTTTATTTAAAGTGTTAATCGAAATAGGCAACACCGATTTCTAATTCGTATATTTGAATTACATATTTGAAAGGTTTAAAAAAAATGTCAATTAAATAATTGACATTTTTTTAAAAATCGTTTATCACTAAAATCAGTGAAGTTACTTTGGCAGCATAACGTTATGTTTGTATGTGGGCAGCTGTTCTGCGATTTTTTTTTATGGACAAAGCGCAAACGCGCGCGGTCGATCCACCTGATGTTAAGTGATTACCGCCACCCATGGACATCTGCTACACCTGTGTTGCCGACAATACGTTGATAACCTTTAAGCCCCGGTTACTTCGTTCACCAGCCGAAACATTAATGGTCCCCCCTTTACGCTGGTCGTCTATGCGAACGTCGTATATCACCAGATAAGCCTGCCCATTCGTGCAATAGTAGCTTCGTGGCGGTACCACAATGAGCTTATACAATTTGTTAGTAAAATTATATGTTAGAGTTAGTTATTTTCGTTATTTTTCGGCACTTAAATAATTTCTAAAATATTTCATCTTCCATCGAACCATATAGCTAGAAGAAGCATGCAACGGCTCTTGTGGCGCCGTTGACAATAAGTTGATGATTTTATTCTTACATTTGGTTTTACATCTTGATATCCCCATACAGACTATTTATTATTAGTTATGGCGCCATATCGACGACTGAAAATTTCCCCGAATGAAATATCTTAAAGTATACGTCTTAGAAATGTCCCGTACCTCGCCGTCTTAGAAATGTCCTAAAATGCGTACCCAGTGAAAATGGATCGACGGATGAATGCATGCAATGTATACCATACCTTCAGTACAATTACCTAGAATACTTTACAAATACGACATTGATGTAATGCCGAAATTTTCAGGCCCTGGGTTGCAGTTAAGCTAGTATGAATTGACTTAGGTGTCCACGCAAAGGAAATTACATTTCTTTTTTTGCGTATAAAACGTTTTCAAAAAAACTGTACGAATAGTAACGATGTTGTTTGTTGACTTTTTTTTTAATTTTCCCTTTCATTTTCTTCTGGTACATATTTTTTAAATTTATTTCGCATTGTCTATGTATTTTTTATATTAGGAAATTGCAAGGCTTTAAAGGTTTCGATTTTATCTTGACATTCTTAATTTTTATTTTATTGATAGAATTTAACTGTATTCTCACGATCGTTTTATTTTACCGAAAGAAAAATTCTGGTAATAAACCAATAAGTTAAAATTGCAAGTATTCCGATTTATAACAGTATTATACGTTTACCATGGTTATAATTCTAAGTGTTAATCAAAAAAACCTGATGTTAATCAAATAACCTGTTGTTGATGAAAAAACCGTAACGTTCAGCTGCCGATCATTTTCTTTGACATCAATCTGTTTCGATGGAAGTAATGCCTCGCCAAATGTGAAAATCTAAAGCAATCAAATGATTTGCAATCTTTCTATTGACTCATTTGCTTTTCGTTTATTTCGATAACCTATAAAAAATGTCAAAGACCGAAATAATTGGCATTGACCGCTGTTTATGTGAATACTAAACCAAACTGCTCTGGAATTCACTCAAACCTTTGTGAGTTTGGTTGTTGTCGGAGTGTTCAAAATGTTTGACGCGGTGCCACCAGCATTTCGGCCGGAAATTCGTTGAGTCTCTCCCGCCAAAAACCAATTGTTATTCAGTGTTAGGCTTATATTAGAAATGAAGAAACCTTATTGAATGACCAATCATTTTATGATGATGAATTCATCGTCGTATTCTTTAATAGGTAGTTTTTTAATTTAGTTCATCGATGGTCTTGAGAGAATTTTAAGTTAATATTTTGCGACTGAGTGAACACTTTTCTTTTTTAATGAAATACCCCCAAAAAGTCGTAACATACGCTATTTCTATGGTTAAGAAACTGTTGTAACCCATGAGTTTGTTAATAGAAGTCGTTTTTTTAAACGTTCAGAAACGTTAATGTATTATATTCCAATAAAACACGTGTGAACGTTCTGTCTCTAATGGGGATTCAAACGTTTTTATATCGTTCGCTATTAGTAAACTAGCCGAAATCCCTACGACTGGTATGCAAGGGGAAACTGAAGGCATATGCGTCAGCACGCCTGTTCGCTCAGCCAGAACATTTTTTTTTGTTAGAAAAGTTGAATTTAGTTTAAGTTCCCATAATCGTCAAGGGCACGGATTCGGTTCGCTATTGGGCGGCATTGACGGGGGCGGGGCAAGGGTTGTTACCGCTACATTTTGAAACTCCCATTCCTCCTTATCGGGAACACACCATACAGGAAGTGAAGCCCATACCATTAATTTACTTTGTTATTTTTTGTTTGCCTAATGAGTTTTCAAATAAATAAAGATACGAATAAAAAGATGTATGTTTAAATGTAATTAAAAATAAATGGCAGTGTAATTAAAAGAGGTTCCAGTTTTTATATATGTATAATCAGTTTAATAATTACAAGTCGCATCGCATCTTACGCGTCAATATCGCATCATTAAAAGCGCAGGTGTTAAAAAAAAGGTAGGTAATCAAACAATCGCAATTGGCGGCAAAAAGAATCGTACAAGGAGCGGACCGGACACGAAGGCGAAGAATGGCGGGCTGCGAAAAAAAAAGAAAAGAAAATCAGCGAGTCCGTTGTCGTAATTGTTCGGCCGAGTTCGCTTCGCGGGTCTCATGCGCGGGAGTTGTAATTTTAGGCAGCGCGCGGTGAGGGGCGCGCGGGCGGGGGCGGGCCGCATCCGCTCTAGCGGAGTGCCCGAGCCCACCGCTGCGACCATTTCGTCATTTAGGCGCGCTGACTCAAATGCGAACGATTACGACACAGATATTTCAGGCGTATCCCGGCGCAAGACGGCAGCTGGCACGGCGGACGACCCCGGCGCTGAGTACCCTAGCCATCGTGTAACAAGCAGAAATTTCAGTGATCTCGCAGCCGAATGTATAACAGCTTGCGTAATCACCGACGTCACTGCATACACGATTTTTTAGACCCCCGCCGCTGGTGGTGGTAGCCGGCCGCCGCAGACGTTGATTGTATGTCGACCATATAGGAGAGAGAAAAAGACTGACTGATAGTTAAAAGTCAAGTCAATCTCTCCCCCCGACACGGCCGACATAGTTTATTTGTAAAATCTTCTTTCTTCCAATTCTCTTCGTTAATTTCTTCAACTCCAACTGCAAGTAAAATATTTTGAAACCGCGCGCGCGCCTAACGGAACATTTTCTACGAGGTATGCATATCGCGTGAATGACGACGGGAAATAAAATAAAATTAAAACTGATCGGTTTTATAGAAGAACCTAAGCAGTGGAAAATTTAAAGTTAATTTTTGTTAAAGTTAAGATTTAAGAAAAAAAATCCAAAATGGCGGCTTTACCACATTGCGGAAGTTTCAAAAGTAGGTCGCGAACCATCTCACAAAATTAATCTGAAGTTAAAAAAAAATATTTCACTTCGATTTACTTCACTATAAGTCTCTAAAGTATCGGAAAATGTTGAAGGAAATTCGAGTGCCGCTGAGTGACGAAGTAGAGAAATAGTGAACAAAAGTTTCAACTGCCTCTCTACTAGATAGCTAGTAGAGGAGACGACCGGAGCTGGCGACGACTAAAGAGCGAATGGTTATGCTGAGCGAAGAGCGATGCCGTAGTGGCGATCGGCTAAGGAGGGGCACGTAGCGGGGGCCGGCGGAGGGGGGCACGGGGCGTGCTGCGCGCGCAGAGAAAGGACGCAAGTGGTGATGTAATCGCGATCGATGCAATCCGCTCCGCGCGACGCAACTGCCTTGCTACGAGCGACGACTCCGATGTACACGCGGCCCGCTGTAATTACATTTCCCGCGTAAAAATGTGGTATTACGGTGATGCGACAAGTGTAAGTAAGGCGCTTCCTGACTAGTTATTGTCGGCGATGAATTGCCGAAGGCGATCTTGGTCAGTGACCCGCCGGCCACACGTGTAATGTTTCTGGTGGAGTGTGGAGAGTGATGCCGCAAGCGGAAACCCGTAGATCTTCGAGTGCTACATGTCATCGAGTGGTCACTTCAAAAGTGTTCGGCAACAGTGTGAGCACTCTATCGGAGCCAGCGAAAAGATTTGAACGGATTAGAACGGACCGCCGTCGAGATAATGTAGTAAATATTATACTAGCGGAGAATATTGATCTAAGTGGCGAACGGCGCATTCACTCGGCGGCGGTCGTGAGCTTCCGCGCTCGTTCGGCTTCTATCTAGGTCACACGTGTAAACGTTATCCCCACCATACCGGCCTTGGCTTAGTTTAGGCCAAATGGCACCTCCCCTTCTCCATAGCAGCGCATATACCGCGGCACCTACTTAAGCGTCTCTATTATCTATTAGTAAACGTACGCTCAAACTCTCGTATCTGTTCCATACACGAGTGTTGCGGTCAAAAAACGTATATTTACACAACTACGGACGATGTAGAGCTCTAAAATGTCACAATTACCAATACGTTATCTATTTCCTGCCAGATGCGAATTCTAAACTTCATCACGACCTAACCGCCCGCCTACGTTAATAAAAGTCTCCCGATTATAAAAATAAAGGAATGTAACCGGCGTAGCAACAAAGCAGCTCTGTAGGGCGTACCGTACGCTCCTCCCTTTCAAGTTTTTTTTGTTGATGTTGCCATCCATACATCGAAATTAGTTTTAGGGTAGACGCACTGGACGTGTTAGCGAGTGGGGCGTTTATGTAACAGGAAATCGGAAAAACCGTTATGTTACAATGATGACCGTGTGCCGAGTCGTTCGGAAGCTAGTCACGTTATCGAGCGAGCGGCACTCGTGGCTAACTACTTCGGGCGCTGCGGCCCAATGGAAAAAGATCCACCGCTGATGATGGATTCTGCCGTTCGGGTGGCCTCGTTTGTATCTAGGACAGCGCCCGAAACAACTAGGCCAACGTTGCCGCGCAGGCGCTAACGTTACCGAACCGCACATCCAGAGCCACCAAAACTAGAGCTCGGTACCCCGCGAGGGTCCCGATGCTAGGCTGAAAGCCGACCCCATGCGGGGGCAGGTGCGGCTCAACAAGTTCTGGTCGACGGGTTGCAGAAATCGACCTCTTGTGCTGCGGAAGTGTCTTACACTCGGACAATCCACCTTTTGTGTGTCGAGTGCGGCAGAGAAGTGTACGCGGCATCGTTTCTTTAATTAATGTATGTCAACGGAAGGTTTTGAAAAGGATACTATACAGCAACGTTGAACCTACATGTACATGAAGAATATAGCCAGAGTTTTGACTCGAACAAAATACCTAGTCTGCCGTCTATTTTAGAAACTTTAAACTTGAAAATTTTTAAACCTTGCTTAGAAAACTTTTATGCGATGGGGTAGATTATGTCGGCACCATGACTAAAGTATAGATTACGGTTAACGTAGGAAATAGTTTTAACTTTAGCTACAGAACAAAGGAACAATAACTTAGTACTTATTCATGTCTGTATGTAATATCGTAATAATTTGATTAAATTAAAATAGGTTTTTAGTATATTATAATAGTCTAAAATCTCAACTTACAGAAACGACATATATTACTTAATAAAATTTTGGTGCTACTTTGTAAATTTGTATACTGTAATGTGTCAACAACACGCCGTTTCAAATGTTAGTGACCCCAAGAAATGTAAACTTTCCCTGAAAATATTTTTTGATCTCGAAACAAAACAACAATTTTAATATGTACATCATATTATACATATCGATGGGTTACACGACATATATACATGTACCATGTACAAATAACCAATAAGAGGTAAGTAATAAAGAAACAAATGCAGCGAAACTAACAATAACTCGTGATAATGTCCAAATGTTCTACCTCAATTACTATACTGAGAAACATTCGAAAGTAAACTGTTTGGCCGAACAGTTACTAATACCTAGTATTAATGCAAGCGTCTCTATGTAGAGTTCCTAGTACAAAAACACGATTTTTGGGGCTACTTCTGCATACCCTTTAATAAAACGGTACTTTATATGTTTAAACTGAAACGTCTTTCAACATCCAACATCTTTATCGATTTTAATCAAATAATTGTTTAATTTTAAAATCTTTAGTGGTTTTTTTTTCGGTGTTGTTGATTAAGATTTTATGAGTTTTATGCGCATACGCCTCACGCATTACGCCGTATCATTTTTCTTCTCTGAACAAATTTTGTAGTTAATTTTTTAAATTGATAATTTATTTCATTATCGACCTAACCTTTACGAAAGTGTTAACTAGTCGTTCTTATATATATATTATAATTTGTTTAGTAATTACGTGAAGATCGTAACGCAATGTTAACATACACACAGTACGTAAAGTCAGTGTACTAAAGATAGGTTTACACGTGTACTAAGGACAGCTTTTTTAAGAAGATCTTTTTACACTTGATGTTATCTTCAATTTTTATAAACGCGTTTAGAAATAAACGGTTACATAATGTTTAGAATAATGTTTTGAATGTCATGTAACAATGTTATAAACAAAGCGTGTAGCCTTTTCTGTCATAAAGAGCCTGGGGACAGTCATGGATCTTACGCTCTCTTCGAGATGTGTAATGTGTAATGTTTTGTGAAATTCGGATTATACTTTAAGTTTTTATTCGCATCCCAATCTCTTTGATGGAAATTTGATATAAGAACTGAATTACATGCTACCCTATGGAAATCCGTTTTGTACAATTTAAATAAAATACATGTATATATACATATATACACATATAAGTATATATATAAGTTGTATAAAATTGTATATTAATATAACATACACATTACAGGATAAAGACCAAGAGGAAACCGCACCATGCCAGTTTCTAACCGATTTGGCTAAGAATGTTACATTGGCTGCTACATATATCCTCTCGTTCCATTGACCATTACGATTTTTCGACATTTGGCGGAATATAATAACAGTCGATGAAGCTTCATTACATACCGTAAACAATCAAAAACGGTAACTTGATAAAAAGTAGCGACCAAAGCTGTTGAAAACTAACGAGCCGTTAGAAGGGATAACATAACGGTCCCATGAAATTGGCGGCAGAATCGTATCAATTGCGTTCAGTCAGAGTCAGCCTTGAGCGCTGAGGCGGGCATCGATAAGGGCCCTCTGTGCCGGAAAAGGCGAAACGCCGAAACGATTACGCGTCGGGACCCCGTGGCGACGCAGGGCCCGAGACTGCAGCGACACGGAAACGTGACGACGCGACCCGAGCAACATCAGCGTCGCTACACGAGCGAACTGATAAGCGGGCGATAAGCAGCGCCGCGGAAAACGCCAGCGGTGTATCAGACGGCAGGGAAATCGCATCGAACGCGGTGGAGAGGCGCGCAGCTGTACTCACCTGCTGGAAGCCGACGTCCCCTGCCTCGGCCGGTGCTGGTGTGGCGACGCTGGCGGCCATGCTGTATGTATTTATTGGTGGTGCCGTGGCTAGTACGCTGGCGCGCGGATCCACGTCGACGCAGAGCGATGCCGCATTGTGTTCTATACGCCTATACGTATGCGCGGCGGACTTCTTTCCCCGCACCCGCGCCCCTCCCGCCCCCCCCCCCCCCCGTCGCTGCGGTTGGAAACGAAACGGCCTAATCGCAAGTGGAACACGCCAGCTCGAATTAGACCCTTGCGTCGCGAGCCGCTCAGGGAGCGAGTCTTATCTGTATGGTAACACTGCAGCGGCCTATGTGGCGATCTAATTTATAGGCCGCGGAATTCGACCTGGCAGCCCATTGCCGCGGACGTCATTAGACTTTTACGTAAACAGACTTAGTTTAACGCAAATGCAGTGGGATACTAAATACGGCTCTCGTCCATATTAATACAGTATGTGAAGGGTGAACATTGCAAATTGCATTGCGAAGCGGACGAAACATTCCGAAGAGATCTGGGGGCGACGATCGTCGGATAAGCTGTTTGTTTGATGCTTATATGACCGTCTTAAAGTTAACAGTGGACTATATGAACAAGTATTCAGTTGGCGTTGGAAGGTTTGCAACAAGTTGCCCTGTTACGAATTCCAACCGGGGCTGTGACGTCGTTAGTGCCGGACGATGAAAACCGGTCCCAGAAACACGTCATACTCCCGGTCGTAAGACACATACGGACATAAAGTAACATAATGTAACAGTCCCCAAAATAAAACATTCCAAACTGACGTATATAAAGTTACGAGAAATAATTAGGGACATAATAACGCCCATCGTACAAAAATATCACGAGGTACAGTTTTACTCAGCAGTATTTTATTATATCGTAAGGTAAATAAATAACGCAACATATTATATATTCATACGGTACAATCCAATTTATTACCGATACTCATTTGCTTAAACGATCGTCGACCAAGCGAAGGTTAATCTTACTAAGTTTATTATCAATAACTACGTACATTTTGGACGAGACCATAAATCTAATTCACTTGCCAGGCCATAATACACATCATGTATACTATCAACAGTGCGATAGCCTATTCTAAAACCGCTGTGGATATGCTCTCGAAATGAACGCTCAGCGAATTGCAATCTAGACTTCCGACAGAGATGTCAGCTCGACCTTCTGGAACCCTTCGTGCGAACCAACGTTTATTCAATTGTAGCTCGTGGAATTGTAGTTGGCACCAATCTAATGCTAATGCCCCTTGGAAAGACCGCGTACGACACACGCACGTAATGTGCCCGCGGATACCGTTTCCAACTGTAATATTAATGTGACACACGCTGCACGCTCCCCGATTCGAAATGATGAATTAACCCGTCGACATTTTCAGTCACCAATGCCAATATCAATAAGGTTGGATAGATGGTTGTAACTAACAGCCAAGCGATCCTTCGATAAAATTGGATTGGAGTGTCGCAGAAGGCAAATATGCGCACAGGTGGTGGTTTAGAAAATTTCCGAATTCACTATAATCACGACATAAACAAATAATAGCAGCGAGTGCGCTGCTACTTAAGGCCCGAGCGTTGTTATATCGCCACTCGTGGATCTGGGTCCCTTGTTAATAAATGGGACACTACGCATTGGTAGATCACAACCAATAGCCTCAACAGGATGATGCCAATCGGCGAGATTACAAACGCCTATCAAACCAGCGATTCGTTGAATAGCACTTGAAACCGCCACAATATCCGTAGCAGTCTCTTTCTTGTTAACTAGGCGATAGAACATTTTTATCCTGTGTTATAACTGACTGTTCATGACTGGGGAGTTGAACTTTAATATCGCTATACTTGAATTTTCATTTTAAGTCGTGCTTTCTGCACTTACGATGAAACTTAAACTCTGTAGTTAAGTGGTCGAAATTTTTTTTACCGAAGCCAAAATTCCTTGTGCCTTCTCATTCCGACACTAATTACGTGAATCAAAAAAATTAATTATTAAGGCAGTCAAAAAAAATGCGAAGTGGGTTAGAAATACGTATTATATAAGTTTACATAATGTAACTCATTTTCTGACCATGTATTTCAGGGTAAAGATTTATCTGACCCACTATTAACTTATATCTATTAAAACATGTAGAAGAAGTACGAAAAGATTGTCGCCACTGTGGGAATCGAACCCACGTCTACGGCATTCGCGGCCTGACGCTCTAGCCACTGAGCTAAACGGCTGATAGCCACAGCGACGAAAATCTTAACGCCTTCTTTCTACATTGTCATTTAGCATTTGAAGCAATGCTTGGCGCATCTATTGTTATATCCTTTCCAGCATACAAACAATTTCAAATATCGTTTTACAACGATAATTCGAACGAGAGATGTCGCCATTGCTTTTTATAAATTTTTAAAGTTTTTTATAGTGCTAATGAACGGCTATCAGCCGTTTAAGCTCAGTGGCTAGAGCGTCAGGCCGCGAATGCCGAAGACGTGGGTTCGATTCCCACAGTGGCGACAATCTTTTCGTACTTCTTCTACATGTTTTAATGTTCAATCTTAAGTGCAGAGATTAGCACTATAAAAAACTTTAAAAATTTATATCTATTTGAAAATAATATACCTACTTTTAGAACGAAGTTCCTTATTGTACGGTACGGATTCGGCGGTTGGGGGCTAGGAGACAAATAGTTTAAGAATTTTCCGTCACGATGGAAACGTCACAAAATACCATGACAACAAATAACAACCTTTTGGCATTTACCTATAAGCGTTATTTTACCTTAAACCGTTATCAATTGCCTTTAATGTCTTTTTCACAAAAAAGGAGTATTAGCATAGGGTAAATAATTTTTATTTATTGGAAATGTAATAATTTTATGAATAATAATATACTACGAAACTTCCTTGGAACTTCCTTCCAACCGAATGTTCCACGACACACTCGCGCATTTCTTTTATTTTTTTAATTTTGTCTCGCAAAAAAGGATTATTATGTAGGTCTTTTTATTTGAAACTAATGATTTCTCAACTAGCCAACTTTACTCAATGTAAATTGGTGTAAAAATTAAAATGTGAATAAATATGGGATCACTTATCGATCGAATAAAATATTTAATTTCTAACTTATATATCTTACAATAACAAGAAAGAAGAGTTTCGAAATAAGCAAAGATTACTTTCAACCAAATTAATAATACTAAATACCTCCCTTGAGTAAACACAAGAATCGCGTGATGGCGTCTCAACGGAAATTGGAGCCAGCTAGGCATCTGTCTCCACCAAATTGCCCGCCCAATGTATCATTAATTTCAGGTGATTGGATGGAATTGATGAAAAGTTTCTACGGAGCTAATAATCTGTTGTTCAGAATCGAAACTTGAGTTTGTAACAAAATACACCTTTAAGGAGATGGTTTCGTTCGCCCGTGCAGGTTAAAAATAAAATTTCGAGTCTTAGCCTCCATTTCGAATGGAAGACGAATTGTATCAAGTCATTCTCTCAAGTTATAGTATCAAGTTTTTCTCTCAAAATTTCAGACAGAGAAGTCTAATATAAAAAAACTTTTATTACGATAAAATGTGTTCACTGATTGCTTGCTCACTGCTCTATATTTCCCAGCCTCAACATTTATATTTAATATGTTAATTTTCTTTGTCGCAAAGATTCGAAATAACAGCGAATAATAATAAAACCCTTGTTAACTTTCAGCTACTTTGTGAACATACTGAGGCACCAGCGAAGAGAAATGTATCATGCGACAGAGTTCTGAGTGCGGAGAGCACCATTATGATCATTTTAGTAAACAAACCAACTAGCAGCAGGTAGTAGCCATCATGAACAAAATCAAGTTAAATATTTGCCTAAAAAGCCCGCGATATTGCAAACCTAGCGTACCCTCGCTCGTTTCACGGGCGAGCCGCTCGCTTGTTCTCCTAAATATAAATGTATTAAAAATTATGTAATAAAAACTTTTTTATCCGCGACCACTGATAATTATCTTCGTTCCGTTTAATCTTCTATTAGCAATGACATCCACGGCGAGCGACTTTAATTAACCGCCGCGCGCGTCGTTGAAATCGCATGCTGATTAAAACTGCGGAATAAGTCAGACGTCAGGGACTCGGCAAACTTTAATACCTCAGCGAAAGGGGCCCCAGCTCGGGCCGCAATATCCGCCCCGCTTTGTTCCTTCATTATCGAAGAAACAGATAACTTAATTAAAAGTTGTGGTCGACGCAATCCTTTGTCGCCTGCAATTGTCAGCAGACGGCACGGTTATTACGTACCTTTAAAACAATACTAAATTTTAAACTTGGTGCATTTTGCAGCTGACACGCCACGAGTTATGGCAACGGTCTATCGATAAATTGATAACATTCAAAGTTTAACTCATCACTTTTGTTGATGCGAGTTTAATAGATAAATTAATATAAACGCGCTGAAAATTAGTGTTTAACACTGAAAATATAAAATATAAAAGAATACTATATATAAATATATATATATATTTATCCAGTTAGAATCAATAAAATATTTCTAATTAGATTAATGAACGAGTCTAGTTAGAGTTAAAAGCAATAATTTGAGAAAACTTAAATTATGAAATGACTGCTTCGTAATCAAATATGTGTTTAAGCTTTACTTTCGAGCCACCTCAGTATAGCCCATTTAAATAATTGATTTAGAGCACTTATTGCGTAGTTACGACTCGTCACCATCTGCATAGATTCCAGGGAAAGCTCTGGCTTAATGGAATAATTCTACGCTTTAAGTCTACTTCAATATGCAAATTGCGGCACCATAAGCCGCTTCTTTTCCGTTAATAGACTTAAACTATACTTATGTCAGAATATAATATCTATTAGTATATAATCTAATACGCTTTAATAAACGTACCTTCTCGATTGCTTTTCACTGAAGATTACAACTTTTCTCGTCATATTTTCAACAAGTTATATTAGACTAGTATATTTAATGATTTCTGGCCTAGAAACATTATAAAGGATGAACACACGTCCAATCAGTCGGTGCCATACTAGGTCCTTCAACAGGGTGAGTTCACGTTCGCAGCCCGTCTCGCACTCACACCCGGTTTCTGAAACTCTGAAGTTAACTACGATGATCAGTGTTTCAGAAACCAGCCGTAAGACTCTATTCTGACGCTTTAAATTATTCGAGTGCTTTGGGATATTTTCCAACTAAACCTTTGGTGTCTCGGTAATAGAAGAATTGCTTGTCATTTAAGACTGTGAGACGATAAATATGCATTTTGAAGTCATAAATACAATGAAATGTATCTTTCTGATATACCGTGTATACGCCCACATATTTTTGATTGGAACATGATAACGTCGTATCCCGGGAAACAACGCGCCACTTCATCGTCGTACACGTGAGCATGTCGCACACTGAAGCACAATTAAGCTTCCGACTTCAAACAGCCCCTTCCGGCATTCCCCTCGATAGGAATGTAGCAAATTGGTGCACGTCGTTTCGGAAATGCCAATGGCGGGCGACAGGCTGATAGGTTTTGTTGCCTCGTAACGCCGACGCCGCAGTGCACCGATTCAATTCCGATCGCATCGCTAATTACTGGCTGCATGCCGTTCGACTGATTGCTTTGACGCCCAACGAGCCGTTGACACGAACAGAACTGAACGTGAACGTAAAAATCCCATGTTACGTCGCGCGAACCCTGCTACACGCAAAAAAGGTCCACTGGCGGCAATTAACTCGGTGGAGAGGCGTGGATTTTTAATGAAAACGGATTTTTCTTTTGACTTATGTGACGCACGTATTTTTATTTATACATAATAATAAAAACAACCGGCCAGTCGGACTCGCGCACGAAAGTTCTATGTATAAAAACGGAAAAAAATCATATTTGTTGTATGGGAGCCCCACTTAATTATTTTTTATTCTGTTTTTTAGTATTTGTTGTAATAGCGGCAACAGAAATATATCATCTGTGAAAATTTCAACTGAGTAACTATCACGGCTCATGAGATACGGTCTGGTGACCGACAGACAGACAGAGGAGTTTTATTCATAGGGTTCCGTTTTACCCTTTGGGTACGGAATCCTAATTATATAATACCATATCCGTTAATATTTTGCAGCAATCAGCTGAAACAGATTAAAAGTTTCCGATTCCAAAGGAACCAGTCAACCGGAAAGAGGTAAAAAGCTTCTTATTGATGGGTTCACGTTTAAAATATATTGGCCTATCTTTTACTGACTACTCTTTTGTTGTGCGAATAGACATGTTTGTCTGGGGAATTGCTGCGGCAAGAAGAATACCAAATAGAAGTATTTGATATTCATCTGAGATTCATCTGCAATTCATCTGTTCACTTTTTTCAAATCTTGGTAACCTGTCTGCAAACATGCAGTTGTTATGGGTGTTCACGGAACGCGATTATCGATTAACGTCATGTGAACTGCGTATTTGCTGCTCGCATATATAAACAATAGATACCATCCAATTTAGAATTTGTTGCTAATTACCTATTATTAAAGAGTACGCAATAAAAAACTGTACCAGATTAACTGTTTGCTGTATAGAATTAACCCTTTATGTATGCCAACATGCAGTATGATTCATAATCCTATAAATATGATATAAATAAAATAATAAACACAATGTTTTTAAAATAAAATTTATTCCCCAATTTTTTTACTTCTCTTATACATCATAACCATAACACCTTACATTTGTCGATTGTTCTCCGATTAGGGATACGTCCTTAATCGGATAACAAGCGACAAATGTACATTACGAGTTCGCCCCGAACATACTTGTATAACAAAGAGTATTTTCAACAAATATCATTATCGAATACAACATTTTTCTATAATAACACGCTTTATTAATAACGGTGATTTCCGTTCCATGTACCTATAATGTACCTACTAAATGTGCCGTTTGTCCACCTGTAGATCTTTTATTCGAGGCGTATTCTTCAAAATAAGTATGTGCGCACGTAAAAAGTTATACCTCTTTAGCGTAACATAAGAAAAATAACAGAAAATTTTATCCTCAGTATCTACTATTTGTTTGTGGAGAAGACATTGAATGCAATTGATGACGGTTTAATTAAATAACTTTGGAATTATAGGCAAATTTGTCATTGTATAAGAGTTCTAACGTTATTACTTTGATTCTAATATTTTACCTAATTCTAGACTTGAATATTAACAACTATTATAACGACAAGCAGCACTAGTGGTTATATCATCGTCCGAGAACTCAGTCGAAAAGCAAGTAACCGCTGCTCCATAAGACCATGTGTCCCTTGGCTCGAGTAGATAACGTCATATCCGGTATACAGTGTTGCCAGCGCCAACAATTGGTTACCAAAAATTTTATGGTAATACCGTAAAAGTCATCATCATACATTGCTGTTGGTATACGCGCACATAGTTAAAATTTTACTCTCATAATTATTTCAAACGCGCCAAAATAAGTATACCACGCAGCAGCCTCCGCTGTTGCATGAATGGGCAGACTCGTCCGGGTAAGTACCACGACCTCACAGAAGACCGGCGTAAAGTGGAACTATAATAATTTCGCATTTCGTCTGGTGAGTGACGAGGCCACAGCCCAATTTTCAAAAGGTTGTCAACGCATCTAGAACCCTTGGGTGTAGCAGAAGACCATGGGTGGCGGTAATTACTTAACATCAGGTGAACCGTCTGCTCGCTTTGCAACTTTTACATAAAAAAAATTACGTCACAAAGGTTTAGATACTTTATTTAACATCGTCTAATACCCATCCAGATTTTGTCTGTTGTGCAGAAGTGTTTGTTTCTAGGAGATTTTTGAATTGTTTAATGTTAAAACTTTGGAAAGAGAAATCCCATTGCGTCGTAACTATGTCATAACAATAACAAAGCGGAGCGCTTTTTAGAGCTCGCTGTATGTTTCTGACGTCTAGTCGTATTCAAACTGTTGGCATTGTGTACTCGTCCGCGTGCCATGTACAGACATTCGTACATTGCGCGCATTATATTCCGTGAACAGTTCTTGACCATAATTCCGAAACTGGGTCAATACTAATATTAGTAATCTGTGTTGCACGCATGGGCGAAAGCGAAAGTTCCTGCGCCGTGCCGTTAGAGACTTTATTTATCTAAATTCACTTTCTCCACCTCGTCTCAGCGATGGCCAAGCCCAAGCCCCCTCTTGCATAAATTAAGCCTTAGCTTAAAATTTCTTTCCTTATAGTATCTGAACGGTAAAGTACGTGTATTTTTCCTTCGTCTCCAATTATCGTATTTAACCGTTATCAAGTGACTATAAAAATTAGGAGATTCAAAAATAGTTTGAATTATTATTTCTTTGTTACTCCGTCATTTATGTTTGGACTTTTAGCATTACGTAAAGTTTAGGTGCCCTTGTGGTCCTATATAAATTACTATGGCATTGCTACTTGGACTCCGGAGACATCATGGAAGAATTAAATACAAAAGTGTAGTTTAAGGAAAGAATATATTGAGATTCGGTGTCGTTTTTGTTCATAGAAATGTATTATGATATGTACTTTAACTATAATATTTAATATCTATAAGCTATTAGAAAGTTAGCATAAACATTAACACATTAAAAGTAATAAAATGCAAATAAGATGTTCGCATTAAGTTTTATGGTTGTCACTTGGGTTGGATGACGTCATATTAATGAAATATATTATTGGAGAGATTGATTTGTGTTACATACCATTTTTTCTACCATTCTGATGCAAAAAATACTCGTGATTATTTTATGCAATATACATTTAAGAAGAAAAGATTAATTTAGTATGATCACATATTATTTTTCACAGTTATCCCAAACCACCACAAAACCCACTTCGCTTTGACTCTGTTAAATAGTTTGTGTTTGTAAGATCCATAAAAACAAGAGCTTAAAAAAATTAAAAAAATTAATTATTTAAAAAAAATTATTATTTAAAAAAAATTATTATTATTTATTTATTTTCAAAACAGCTACTATATAGCAGGAAAAAATTAAGCTCGTGCCATCGAACCGAGAATTTACTTATTTTCAACTAAGTTCAAGAAAGGAGGTGGTTTTCAATTCCACTGCATTATTTTTTAAGTTTGTTACGTCAGAACTTCCGACTGAGCGAAGCGCTTTTAATGATTCTTTTTTTATTTGCAAGCTGGTGCTCCCATGTGGTCCCATAATAATT